AAATTACCGGGTTTTTAGTCTTTGTACGTTGCGAGATAATTTTATTTGTGTTTGCTTTACTTTCTTTTGATCAGTAATTAAATTTTATTATTTTTAGATTGTATGTGTTGGTTTCGAATATGTTCAAAATTATTTAAATTATATGATTTTAGTTGGATTGTTAATTTTAGAACAATATGTGACATATATACATATATAAATATTATACAATGAAAAAAAAATATTATACAATGAATCATTTTTAAAATTTAGGGATTGACCCGCGTTACACCGCATAATCATAAATACATGATTTTAACTTGAACCTTTCATGCAGTTTTGTAAAGTTGCAAATCTCTAGAATAAACAAATAAAAAGCCAATGTTTTCTTATTTCTTATCGTGTTAAAGTGTAATCTGTGTTGATGTTACAATTTTCCGGTAGCAAAAACTTATTTATATAGATCATATTTTCTCAGGGTTAAATTGAAAAAATATTAGTTTTATAATCAAGCCAGAAATTCGAAACTATTGCCAAATAAATATTAAAGATGGTCATAGACAAAAAAAATATATATATTAAAGATGGTTGAAAATGAAATATCCCGTAACTGGTGTGAAGATCATAGTTAATATAGGAGAAAACTATACATCCAAATATCAATATAGGATATTTAAGGAAGATTTTGTTTTGAAATATCATGGATAATTTGATAATGATTATTTTATATTTAATTTATATTTCTGATTTTTAGGTTAATTTGTTAAACCAATATACAAAATCATACATTAATGTATTTTTCCTTAAACAAATTAAGATTAATGTACTTTCCCAAACCGATATTGATGATTTAATTTGGTAGATTTCAAAATAATATATATGGAAACTGGTATTTAATATCCTTAATTTTTTAGTAAGATCCAACTGAAAAAATCCGGGTTAATTTTTTTTTTAAACCCGACCCAAGAAGCATTTGTACTTCTCTTTTACTATAGTAGAGATAGGCGTGATTGCTACTTTTTTTTTGGAATTTTATTAGTCTAAAATTAATGATTTTCACGATGCCTTATTTATTCTTCCAACAAAGGACAATAATTAGGCCATAATGTAATGAAGAAAAAATTGACCCACACACGTATACACCCTTTAAAATCGACCAAAACACTTAAAGGAAATATATTTTGAATATTTTTTGACTTAAGGAAATGTCGCAAAGAATGAGTAATTAGTTAACTATAAGATATTTTGAATATTTTTTGACTTAAAGTTTATGTCGATGACAGTATATTCGATCGTAATTGTATGAAAACTCAATAAATAACCATAATATTCGATTGCTTAATCTAAACATTGATTGGACATAATTTTTGTTGGATTGATTCGATGAATAATACCAGTTTAAGCCAATTTCGGTAAGTAATTAAAATATAAGTAATACAGTAAAAATAATATTTTTTTTTTTTTGTCAACAGTAAAAATAATATTATGTTTCTGTATCTATTTAGGCTGGAAACACGAAGGTGAGTTTTTATGGGCATCTATACTATTAATTGGGGATCATTATTTGTCTTTGTAGCCAAACAAACTTGAAAAAAAAATATTACAAAATATACAATTTCAAACCTATAGCCAAACACACTAAAAGACAGCAAAAAAATAAATTAAATAAATAAAAAATAAAAAACAAAAACTATCTGTATTTATGGAAATTATTTAATTTTGTTACCATAAAAAATGGACAATTAAATTTGAAATTAAACATATGCAAACAGATTTAATATTAGTTATATATTTTAGAATATTTTTTGAAAATAATAATTTATATTTAAGAAAAATATAGATGAAAAAATATGTTTATTATAAAAATAC